AGGCCGCCGGCCGCTTCGGCGTCGTCCTGCCGCCGGAGCCGCCCCGGCACAGCGGCGGTGAGAATCCCCCCATCCCGAGCCCGGCCCCCCGCGGGTATTTACCCGCCCGCGCTAACCCCCCCGCTCTCTCCCTTCTCTCCGCTGCCGCTAACACCCAGGGAGCCCCGTAAGTACCGCGCGCACCGTCCCACCACCAAAATGCCCCTTTTYCCCCATAAATTCCCAAGGGGGATCCGGAGCGGAGCGGGTATTAAGGAGGCTCCGACACCTCCCCTCACGCTGCTCCTTTCTCCCGCAGTGCCCGAAGCGCCCGACCGGCCCACGGTGTCGGCGGCGTCCGAGTCGTCCGTGTACGTGGCGTGGGTGCCGCGCGCCACCGGCGGCTCGCCCATCAGCGCCTTCCGCGTGGAGTACAAGCGCGCGGGCCGCGGCGGCGCCTGGCGCACGGCCGCCCAGGGCATCTCGCCCGCCAAGCTCTCCGTGGAGGTCACCAGCTTGGAGCCAGGTACCTCCCAAAAAAACGTATGGGAAAAGGGGCTGCCCTTGTCCTTCCTGGATGGGAAAGAGTTGGGGTGGTTGGTCTTTCCGCTCGGGTGTCGTGGGGATCGCTCTGTGGGGCGGGGGGATCTCCTGTGGGGTGGAGATGCTTCTGTGGGATGGGGTCTCCGTGGGGTGGGGAGCTCCAGGATCTGTCTGTGGGGTGGGGATCTCCATGGGATGGGATCTCCATGGGGTTGGGATCTCCAGGATCTCTCCGTGGGGTGGGCGTCTCTCTGTGGGGTGGGATCTGTCCATGGGATGGGGTCTCTCCATGGGGTGGGGATCTCTCTGTGGGGTGGAATCTCCATCGGGTGGGGATCTCCATGTGGTGGGGAGATCTCCAGGATCTCTCCACGGGGTGGGCATCTCTCCATGGGGTGGAGATCCCCATGGGATGGGATCTCCATGAGGTTGGGATCTCCAGGATCTCTCCGTGGGGTGGGCATCTCTCCATGGGATGGGATCTCTCCATGGGATGGAATCTCTCCATGGGATGGGGATCTCTATGGGGAGGGGATATCCAGGATCTCTCTGTGGGGTGGGGATCTCCATCGGGTGGGGATCTCCATGGGGTGGGGAGATCTCCAGGATCGCTCCATGGGATGGGGATCTCCATGGGGTGGGGATCTCCATGGGATGGCATCTCCATGGGGTAGGGATCTCCATGGGATGGGGGGATCTCCATGGGGTGGGGATCTCCAGGATCTCTCCATGGGGTGGGGGGATCTCCATCAGGTGGGGATCTCCATGGTGTAGGGATCTTCAGGACCTCTCCACGGGGTGGGCATCTCTCCATGGGGTGGGGATCTCCATGGGATGGGATCTCCAGGATCTCCCCATGGGTTGGGGGGGATCCCCATGGGTTGGGGGGGATCCCCATGGGTTGAGGGGATCCCCATGGGTTGAGGGGATCCCCATGGGTTGGGGATCTCCAGGATCTCTCCATGGGGTGGGGATCTCTCCATGCAATGGCAATCTCTCCATGGGATGGGAGGGATGATCTCCACGGGATGGAGGCATCTCCACGGGGTTCCCCCCCTCCCCTTCATCCTCGCCCTTGTCCCCCCGCCGCCGCGGGGCAGGCGAGAGCTACCGGTTCCGCGTGA